GGTATCAAGATGATGCTGGCCTCATAAAATATGTTTGGAAGTATTCCCTCTAGCTTTATTTTTTGGAAGAGTTTAAGAAGTTTTGGTAACAATTCTTCTTTGTATGTTTGTAGAAGTCAACCATGAAAGCCATCTGGTCCTGAGAATTTCTTCAATAGAAGGTTTTTAATTACTTCTTTAATCTCTTCACTTGTTATTCTATTCAAGCTTTCTATTTCTCGTCAATTCTATACTTTTCCAGGAATTTATCCATTTCCTCTAGGTTATACAATTTGTTGGCATATAATTATTCATAATAGTCCCTTATGATCCTTATTTCTGAGGCATCTGTTGGAATGGCTCCACTTTGAACTCTGATTTTATTTGAGTCTTCTATCTTTTTTCCTTAGTTTAGCTAGGGGTTTGCTGATTTTGTTTATGTTTTCAAAGAACTAAAAATCTTGGTTTTATTGAGTTTTTCCTATGGTTTTTCTGTTCCCTATTTGATTTTTTCTGCTCAAATCTTTATTTCCTTCTTTATGCTAACTTTTGATTTAGTTTGTTCTTAGGCTATTTATTTGGGGTATTTCTTTTTCTTTTCCTTTTTTATTTTTCTTTTTCTGAGACAGAGTCTTACGCTGTTGCCCAGCCTGGAGTGCAGGGGTGTGATCACAGCTCATAGAGCTTCGCCCTTCCTGGCTCAAGCAGTCCTCCCACCTCAGCCTCCCAAGTAGCTGGGACCACACGCACGTGCCACCATGCTGGGCTAATCTTTTTATTTTTTGTAGAAACAGGGTCGCCCTATGTTGCCCAGGCTGGTGTTGAACTCATGGGCTCAAGGGATCCTCCCGCTTCAGCTTCCCAAAACGCAGTGATTAGAGGAATGAGCCACTGCACCTGACCTGGGGTCTTTCTTCTTTTTCAATACGGGCATTTTTTTGCTCTAAACTTCCCTCTTAGATTGCTTTTCTGCATCCCACAGGTTTCGATATTGTGTTTCCATTGTCATTTGTCTCGAATGTTTTTAACATGATATCAAAGACATCCACTTCAAGTTGAAACCAACTATTCAGAATTGAAAAGCTCGGATAGTATCTCATAGTGCATTAATACAAGCTGAAGATAAGAGGTCATTATACTAAATCTCAGAGCAAAAAACTGTGATTTACATGTTTGATGTTTTCAGTAAGTTTGTTTTATATTATTCTTCAGCATCTTAGAAGTCAGTCTGGGGTAATAAATAAGACTGATTACCATTATGTACACCAGCAGCTCACCAAACAGTGACAAGTGGTATCTGGTCCTTACCCCTGCTTGCAGTTCCTCCCCAAGTGATCATCTCAGCCTTAGTTGTGGGGCCTATATTTTGGATTCTATATTGCTGAGGTTTAACGTGTATACTATGCCAATGTGTTTGGGAAAAAAGCAGTAGTTGACATTAAGTAAAATATATTTATTATTTTGTTATAAATTAAAAATACATATTTATTTTCTATTGTTAATAAATTGTTGTTATAACAATAAATATATAAACCACCAGAAATTTTCAGTATTTTGTAATTACAATGGTAAATGAGAACAGAGTAGAAACACATTTGATTGAAAAGATGTGTTTTCTTTTCAAGGGCAAGATTATAAAATTATAAGGCTGGGCACCGTGGCTCATGCCTGTAATCCCAGCACTTTGGGAGGCTGGCAGGCAAATCACCTGAGGTCAGGAGTTTGAGACCAGCCTGGCCAACATGGTGAAACCCTGTCCATACTAAAGCTACAAAAATTAGCTGGGCATGGTGGCACAAGCCTATAATCCCAGCTGCTTGGGAAACCGAGGCAGGAGAATCTCTTGAACCAGGGAAGAGGAAGTTGCAGTGAACCACGATCGCGTCATCACACTCTAGCCCGAGCAACAAGAGTGATACTCAGTCTCAAAAAAAAAAAAAAAAAATGCTGTGACATTTCACTCTGAAATGTTAGGACATAAAGCAGAGTTATCCATCCACATGAAAGCTGTTAATAAAAGCAGAAAGTCAAGACCATCGCTGTCTATTACCATGTTATGAATTGTCATGTGGAGCCTCACATGGAAAATGAGATGGGGGAGGGAGGGACAAAATGTTTCAACCACTAAGGATGCTGGGAACATACAGGATGTTCACTTGATGATATTGTTTCTATTTCAGCAAAAACAATTATAGTCAAGTAACAAGGCACTCAGATTATTAGAGCAAGTAAGTACTGAAATAATTTAGTAATCTGTATTATTTTAACTATTATTTAACAATAGTCAACATATTGCTGGGTGCGGTGGTTCACACCTGTAATCCCAGCACTTTGGGAGGCTGAGGCGGGTGGATCACGAGGTCACAAGATTGAGACCATCCTGGCCAACGTAGTGAAACCCCGTCTCCACTAAAATACAAAAATTAGCTGGGCATGGTGGTGTGCGCCTATAGTCCCAGCCTCTTGGGAGGTTGAGGCAGGAGAATTGCTTGAACCTGGGAGGCAGAGGTTGCAGTGAGCCGAGATTGCACCTCTGCAGTCCAGCCTGGCACCTGGCGACAGAGTGAGACTCTGTCTCAAAAAGAAAAAAAAAAAAGTCAGCATATTAACTCTTATTTCTAATTATTTACTTTAGCATCTATTTTTATAACATTTTTATATATATTATTATATACTACATATAAGTATATATTGTACCTATATGTGTGTAAATATATACATAGTGTTTTCAAATTGCTGTATTTGTGTTCTTATTGATTCATGTTGAATCAACTATTCTGCATGTCCATAAGTTTTCAGAGTCTGTTGATAAAACACTACACATGAAGCTTTAATCATCTCGTGCTGATGTTACAAGTTACAGTTATATACAAAGTTATGCTGACACACATAATTGTGGTTGTGTCTGCATCCTCATGATATAAACCTATATTCTATCACTGAAAATTAGGCTGTGAGTGAAGGCTGAAAGCTCAGGGAGAGCCAAGGCAGCCAGACCCATGCACGTGCCTTCCTGCTCTGAGCTGCCTGCTGGTCACCTGTACCTGTCCCAGCAGACTCTCTGGAGTGGAGAATGTGGCCTGGATCTCTTGACAATTAAAGCTTTGCTCTGTTCTTGGACTAAATCCACACATAACCACGTCAGGCTCCTCATCTGCCAGGAGGCAGATTGCCCTTGATTTCATAATCATGGAAAACTTATAACTGTAGGTACTGGCTGGGCACGGTGGCACATGCCTGTGATCCCAGCACTTAGGGAGGCCAAAGCGGGTGGATCACGAGGTCAAGAGATTGAGACCATCCTGGTCAACATGGTGAAACCCCGTCTCTACCAAAAATACAAAAATTAGCTGGGCGTGGTGGCGCGCGCCTGTAGTCCCAGCTACTCTGTAGGAGAATCGCTTGAACCCAGGAGGCGGAGGTTGCAGTGAGCAGAGATTGTGCCACTGCACTCCGGTCTAGCAACAGACCAAGACTCCGTCTCAAAAAAGAAAAAAAAAGGCACTAAGCCACGCTGTTGAGCCTTCTGGAAGCGCCTGGGTGGGGTGAAAAGCCAGAGTCTGCAACTTCTGTATTCTTCAGGGGGCCGTGGTGCATCCTGGGCAGTTTTTCTGGCACAGGGTATGTGAGTTTTCCTAGGTAGGAAGGCAGAGGTTGTAGGGAAGAAGAACTTACAAGGCTATATATTATAAGGTGATATGGAAGTAGAAAGCTACTTTTCTCTGTAACCTAAAAGGAGTCATTGGATTATTTGCTGCTATGAGTTCATTTTCTGGGGTTACTTAATAAGAAAGTGCCGGGCGCGGTGGCTCAAGCCTGTAATCCCAGCACTTTGGGAGGCCGAGGCAGGTGGATCACGAGGTCACGAGATCAAGACCATCCTGGTCAACATGGTGAAACCCCGTCTCTACTAAAAATATAAAAAATTAGCTGGGCATGGTGGCGTGTGCCTGTAATCCCAGCTACTCGGGAGGCTGAGGCAGGAGAATTGCCTGAACCCAGGAGGCGGAGGTTGCGGTGAGCGGAGATCGCACCATTGCACTCCAGCCTGGGTAACAAGAGTGAAACTCCGTCTCAAAAAATAATAATAAAAATAATAATCAAGAAAGTGCAGAGATAAACTTTTTTTTTTTTTTTGAGATGGAGTCTCACTCTGTTGCCCAGGCTGGAGTGCAATGGCGCGATCTCGGCTCACTGCAACCTCTGCCTCCTGGGTTCAAGCGATTCTCCTACATCAGCCTCCTGAGTAGCAGGGACTACAGGTGCCTGCCACCACGCCTGGCTAATTTTTGTATTTTTGGTAGAGATGGGGTTTCACCATGTTGGTTAGGCTGGTCTCAAACTCTTGTCCTCATGATCCGCCCACCTTGGCCTCCCAAAGCGCTGGGATTACAGGTATGAGCCACTGCACCTGGCCAAGAAAAACATTTTTATGTAATCCTTCTCAGGGAAGTGACCTTTCTCTCCTAGAACTGTATTCTTTTTATCCCTCTGCCATCTTAACAGCATACAAGCCATACTTACATTTTCACTTACTTAACTCATAGCCTGTTTTCTTAAATATCCTTGTGGTAGCTATTCACATTCCTTTGGGGAAACAGCATTTCTCTAAGAAATGTTTATAGGTTTCGGCCAGATGTAGTGGCTCACGTCTGTAATCCCAGCACTTTGCAAAGCTGGGGCAGGCGGATCACTTGAGGTCAGGAGTTCAAGACCAGCCTGGCCTACATGGCAAAACCCCATATCTACTAAAAAGAAAACACAAAAAAAAAAAAAAAAAAAAGAAGAAGAAGAAAGCAATGATGATAGGTTTATTTAACAATGTGAAGCAGTCCTGGAAGTTGTACTCTGAGCAAGATCTGTAAGCAGGATGCCTGCACTCCTCCAGCTAAGACGTTCCCATTGGGGACACTCAGCCACCTGCTCCATGGCTGGACTCAGATGACACAATGCCAGGAAAAAATTCAAAAGCCCCAGTACCCTTTCAAATGCCTACATAAAACAGATGTCTAATAAAAACCTGCTTATAATCATTTATTATTTGTTTACATACAACAGAAGCCTCTTTTCTCGTGGGAGTTGGGATAAGGAAGACGGTGGCCTGTGGGGCTCCGTGTCTTGCAGCCCTTGTCCTCAGGCCATGATCTGACCCCAGAAGGACAGGGACGGTGACTCCAGCAAGGCACTAGGCAGCCAGGGTCTGCTGCATTTGCGTGCAAATCCTCTACGTTTTTAAGTTGCTCCATGCATCAGCAAAATCTTAGTTCTTAAGAAAAGGAGACAGAAGAGATTTGGACACCGAAGAGAAACAGAGCCATGCCTCAGCTCCCTGCTGGTGGGAAAATGTGCGTCTAAGGTTGCTTGTCTCTCAGGCTTCCGTGCTTTTGTTTCCTCCTGCAGAGCTGGGGCTGGAGCTTGTTGGTGAAGCACACCTTCCCACGTCCGCTGCCAGGGCCCTCATGTCAGGAGTGATGGTGTCACAAGTCGACTGGACTATCTGTTCCGACAGTTTATCAGACATGCACAGCTGTGGGTAGGAAAAGCCAGAGGTGGGTTACAGCACACGTGTGTTAAGTAAAAGCCATTTTGGCTGCGCACTATGGCTCACGCCTGTAATCTCAACACTTTGGGAGGCCGAGGCAGGCAGATCATGAAGTCCGGAGTTCAAGAGCAGCCTGGCCAACATGGTGAAATCCTCTCTCTATTAAAAATACAAAAAAAAAATTAGCAGGGCATGGTGGCGTGTGCCTGTAGTCCTAGCTACTCGGGAGGCTGAGGCAGGAGAATCGCTTGAACCTGGGAGGTGGAGGTTGTAGTGAGCCAAGATTGCACCACTGCACTCCAGCCTGGTGACAGAGCAAGACTCTGTCTCAAAAAAAAAAAAAAAGAGTAAAAGCCATTTACTCACTCAAACTCATTATCAAACTCCTGCTGCCTGTGGGACACCGGAAGAAACACTACCTGTGCCAGACACAGGTCCTGCCTTGAGAAACTTCCTCTTTGAGAAAAAGAGCAAGGTATAAATATCTAAGTGCACATATATCTAAAGGACATACCCTTCTGCACATGCTGAAACTTCCAAATGACAGCAGTAGAGACAACATGCTCCTACGACACGGACAACACTCCTTCATGCAAGTGAAAACGTGTTTATTCTCCACTTTCACCCCCACCAACTGCTGCCAAGTCCCGACAGTCACTGTAAACATCTGGGTGATATTTATTGCCTCTATTTAATTCCAGTTAATCTCTATTTATTTATTTTTTATATAGAGTCTCACTCTGTTGCCCAGGCTGGAGTGCAGTGTTACTATCTCAGGTGATTCTTCTGCCTCAACCTCCCAAGTAGATGGGACTACAGATGTATGCCACCACACCCAGCTAATTTTTTGTATTTTTGATAGACACAGGGTTTCACCATGTTGGCCAGACTGGTCTTGAACTCCTGACCTCACATGATCTGCCCATCTCAGCCTCCCAAAGTGCTGTGAGCCACCGTGCCTGGTTCAATTCATTTTTCTATCCTATGCAATAGAATTACAAAGTTCATCAGCACCACTTTATCCTATATAAAACAGCAGGAGAAAGGGAGAGAGAAAATACTACCCACATATAAATGTATACACAACTGAGTAAGGAAGAAAATCTGGGTAGCTTCTACAGTCCTGGCTTCTGCATCAGGTCACAAGGCATGAGTTGTACTTTCTCCCTCTACCGTCACTCCATTTCTCTTTGTCTTTAGCCAGCACTTCAACTCATCCAGATGCTACGTCCGGTGATGTGACCCAAACCTTCTCTACTTCCTGCAAGGTGGGAGCACTTCTTGGTCTCAAATGTAGATGTTCTATTCTTCTGTTAACTTTTGCCATGGCAAAAAAAAAAAAAAGATGAAGCCAATCCTTGCAGCAACGTGGATGCCACTGAAGGCGGTTATCCTAAGCAATCTAATACAGAAATGGGAAACCAAATAGCGCATGTTCTTACTTGTAAGTGGGAGCTAAATCTTGAGTGCATACAAACATAGGCATGATTGCTGTCCCCCCATAATGGACCACCAGGGCGGCCTCCCTGGCCCACACCCACCTTCCCACTGCCCATCCTACCTTCTCTCCCAAACAGCACCAGCCCTGGCCAGCCTGTTATGCTGTGCTCTCCTGCATCCTGACTTCCTTCTGGGGAGGAAGGATTGTGTAAGTGTGATCTCGACCTCCTTACACCATTACATTCACTTCTGAACAGAAAGCAGTCACCAGCTGGGCATGGTGGCTCATGCCTATAATCCCAGAACTGTGGAAGGCTGGGGCAGATGGATCATTTGAGGTCAGGAGTTCAAAACCAACCTGGCCAACATGCTGAAACCCTGTCTCTACTAAAAATACAAAAATTAACTGGGTGTGGTGGTAGCCACCTGTAGTCCCAGCTACTCGAGAGGCAGAGGCAGGAGAATCACTTGAACCCAGGAGGTGGACGTTGCAGTGAGCAGAGATCACGCCACTGCACTCTAGCCTGGGTGACAGGGCAAGAGTCAGTCTCAAAAAAAAAAAAAAAAAAAAAAGCAGTCACCACTCCTTACTTCCATAGTTCATGCTCTTCTGAAAGTACTCCAGTCAGGGAAAGGAATGAATTACAAATAGAAATGAATAGTACCCTAAGGCATAACTGCTTACGATCCTTTCTGCATAGCCGTGAGAGCAACAGCTATTATATTCACATAATGGTTACTGGTCAGCAGCAACACTGAAAATCTACAGACCCCAAAACATTCATGATCTTATCTCTCCTTCAACAGTTCTTCAAGATTTAGTTCCTCTACTCAGACTACAACACATTCTAAACAGAAACAAAGGAAAACTTTAAAGATGTCTTAATACGGAAAAATAGATTACGTGAACCGCCTTGAAAAGATCCGGAACTGCAGCACCAATGTGGATGCTATCCCGTTACCAGCACAGTACATGTCAGGATATCGGTGTGCTTGTAACAGAAATTCTGGGAGAGAACTACAAGATTTGGGAGAAAAGGAAAGAATTCTTAGAAGAGCTAAAGTTTCCACTAGTATAACTTCATTTATGACCCATCAAATTTTATACTGAAAATATTTAGTTTTGTTTGACATTGTAAGTTGGTACACAAAATACCCGCATCTATGACTCCCAACCCCTGATGCTCTTTGGCTTAGTTGCCAGGTTGCAAAACAAAAGTTTCCATAGTTCTAGCTACTTGGATCCAAAGCCCAGCTAATCATGGATTTAGCTCCCCCTGGTGGTGGTGCATGAATTTTACATACATAAATTGTAAAGTTGAAGAGAATCGTCGGGCTTAATGAGTTAAAACCTCTCCTTTTGCAAATAGGAAAACCAGGGCTGAGAGAAGAGAAGGGAGATGGATGCTGCTCCAGGTGCATGCTGGGGAGTGGCCGAGCTAAGAACAGAAGAGAACCCAGCTCTCCAGCCTCCTGCTGATTTAAACACACCGCAGTGTGTTTAAATGCACAGTGATGCTAGGAGATCCCCTCCCGCTAGCTTTCAGCCTTCTAAAGTCTTCTGAGACATTTGCTCTGTTCAACCTTAATATCAACTGGTCAAATTCTTGGGCCCAGCCGGGCTCCAGTGGCTCACGCTTGTAATCCCAGCCCTTTGTGAGGCCTATGTGGGTGGATCACTTGAGGTCAGGAGTTCAAGACCAGCCAGGGCAACATGGTGAAACCTTGTCTCTACTAAAAATACAAAAATTTGCCGGGTATGGTGGCGTGCTCCTGTAGTCCTGGCTATTTGGAAGGCTGAGGTGGGAGAATCGCTTGAACCTGGGAGGTGGAGGTTGCAGTGAGCCAAGATCACGCCACTGCACACCAGCCTAGCAACAGAGCAAGACTCCATCTCAAAAAAAGAAAGAAAGAAAAGGCCAGGCACAGTGGCTCATTCCTATAATCCTAGCACTTTGGGAGGCTGAGGTGGGTGGATCACCTGAGGTCAAGAATTCAAGACCAGCCTGGCCATCATGGTGAAACCCCATCTTTAAAAAAAAAAAAAAAAAAAAAATTGGCCTGGCATGGTGGCTCAAGGCTGTAATCCCAGCACTTTGGGAGGCCGAGGCAGGTGGATCACAAAGGTCAAGAGATCGAGACCATCCTGGTCAACATGGTGAAACCCTGTCTCTACTAAAAATACAAAAAGTTAGCTGGGCATGGTGGCGCATGCCTGTAATCCCAGCTATTCAGGAGGCTGAGGCAGGAGAATTGCCTGAATCCAGGAGGCGGAGGTTGCGGTGAGTCGAGATCGCGCCATTGCACTCCAGCCTGGGTAACAAGAGCGAAACTCCGTCTCAGAAAACATAATAATAATGATAATAATTAAGTGAGAAAGAAATGCACCTTATGGGTTGTGCCATTTAGCTAAGGCTGATACAAGAACACAAGGTTGCTGTGAATGTGGCCAGAGATACAGAGATAGTTTGCAGGCATGGACAGAGAAATGAAAGAGAAGCTGTAGGCTGACATTAGAACAACACCTCTCAGAATTTTGGGTAATCCTAAAACCAGTGAATTTTTTAAAAAGCAGAACAAAATAAAATGATAATGAAAAACCAAAATAAGGGTGCTGCTGACTTTCACATTTTGTCAAATAAGAACAACTTTAAAAATGATCATGTATTATTACCACCACTTCATAAAAGAAGAAACATTTTAACGTCCCCAAAATAGAAAAGACCTAACATCCACTGAAAGACGGTCACTTAAATGAAACAAGTTTAGCCTTATCAAAAACTTTATGGCCCCCTTATTTTTCTTGTTTATTCATGGATTATAAAGTCACTGATAATGCTGGTTTGCTGAGCATGAACTGCTCTGTAAACCATTTTTGGAGAAGAGAGATTGGATAAGAATAAAGAGTTTTTGTTTTTTGAAGGATGAAACTGATTTGAGAAAAAATTTAATGCGGGGCATGGTGGCTACACCTGTAATCCCAACATTGGGAGGCTGAAGCAGGATTGTTTGAGTCCTAGAGTTCAAGACCAACCTGTGAAACATGGTGAAACCCCATCTCTACAAAAAACACACAGATTAGCTGGATGTGGTGGCATATGCCTGTAGTCCCGGCTACCCAGGAGGCTGAGTTGGGAGGATCACTGGAGCCCAGAGGGTTCTATGCAATCATGCCATTGCATTCTAGTCTGTGCCACAAAGCAAGACCCTGTCTCAAAAAAAAAAATAATAATAATGTACAGGCGGGAAAAAAACAGAGAAATATGTAATTACTAAATGCAATGCAGTAAGCTGAATTGGAGATAAAACAGCAAAAGGACATTATTGAAAAAACTCATGAAATTCGAATAACATCTATATTTTAGTTAATAATATTGTACCACTATTAATTGGCTAGTTTTTATAAATGTGCCATGGTTATGTAAGATGTCAACATGGGGGAAGCTGGATAAAGGGCATAGGTAAAATCTATATTATCTTTATAGCACTTTTATAAATCTAAAATTATTTATAAATTAAAAGTTAAAAAAATAACAGGCCAAGTGATGGCTCATGCCTGTAATCCCAGCTCTTTGGGAAGCTGAGGCAGGCTGATCACTTGAGGTGAGGAGTTCAAGACCAGCCTGGCCAACGTGGTGAAATCCAGTCTCTACCAAAAGTGAAAAAAAAAAAAAAAAATTAGTCAGGCATAATGGCTTGCACCTATAATTCCAGCTGCTCAGAAGGCTCCAACTCCAGGAGCTGGAGTTTCAGTAAGCAGAGATTGCACCACCGCACTCTAACCTGGGTGACAGAGTGAGACTCTGTCTCTTAAAAAAACAATAATAATAACAACAAACAGAAAATAAAGGAAATAAGTGAAATCCCCAGGAATAGGCCCTGGAACCAGTGTCAGGTAGCACTGATCTTTTTGTTTTGTTTTGTTTTTGAGACGGATTTTCGCTCTTGTTACCCAGGCTGGAGTGCAATGGCACGATCTCGGCTCACCGCAACCTCCGCCTCCTGGGTTCAGGCAATTCTCCTGCCTCAGCCTCCTGAGTAGCTGGGATTACAGGCATGCGCCACCATGCCCAGCTAATTTTTTTTGTATTTTTAATAGAGACGGGGTTTCACCTTGTCGACCAGGATGGTCTCGATCTCTTGACCTTGTGATCCACCTGCCTCAGCCTCCCAAAGTGCTGGGATTACAGGTGTGAGCCACCGCGCCTGGCCTAGCACTGATCTTGAATAGGAGAGGAACACCTCCCTCCCTGAGGTAAGAGGAAAGAGTTGGACTGGACACAATAATTTGGTAATAAACTTGCCCCCTGGAATTTGAAAAGGAAGTCTTTTTTTCATTAATAGTTAAATGAAAATAACTTACAAATGAAGTGTGTAACAGATAAATGGAACACAGATAAAACTTAGATTGACAACAGAAATAAGTGGTTTTCCTTTTTTCCCTGTGTGCAAACAAGAAAAAGAAGCGGTCGACCTGTTGTGGTGGCTCTCGCCTGTAATCCCAGCACTCTGGGAGGCCAAGGCTGGCGGATCATTTGAGGTCAGGAGTTCGAGACCAGCCTGGCCAACATGGTGAAACCCTGTCTCTACTACAAATGCAAAAATTAGCCAGACATGGTGGCAAGCATCTTTAATTCCACTCAGCTACTTGGGAGGCTGAGGCAGGAGAATCGCTTGAACTCATGAGACAGAAGTTGCAGTGAGCCAAGATCTCACCATTGCACTCCAGCCTGGGTGACAGAGCCAGACTCCGATTCAAAAAAAAAGGAGTGGTTCATGTTTTGTGGGGAGAAAAAAAGCAGCAGCCCTGAGTCATGTTCCATCTTCTAATAATTCTGCTCTGTAAAAATGCTGTGGGCTGAAGTCAGCAACCTAGAGAAGCCTTACTTCAAAGCACTGGCTAAATTATGGAGAATGTTTTCAAGACCACACTGAAATACTAGCAGGACACTGAGGGTGAAAGTAACATGGGAAGTGAGTAACACTTGGAGAGAAGGAGGAGAAACACCAGAAGCCACTGCACTTGAGGCTGTTTCCTATTAAATCCTTCCGTTTACTTTCAGGAGCCAACGGGGCAGAAACTTTGACCAGATCCCCACTAGTATATTTTATTTACACAGAATTTTCTTTTCATTTAAAGTATCAATAACGAGCTTCTTCTTCTTTTTTTTTTTTTTTTTTTGAGACAGAGTCTTGCTCTGTTGTTCAGGCTGGAGTGCAATGGCATGATCTCGGCTTACTGCAACCTCTGCCTCCCTGGTTCAAGTGACTCTCCTGCTTCAGCCTTCAAGTACATGGGATTACAGGCCCACACCACCATGCCCAGTTCAGCTAATTTTTGTGTTTTTAGTAGAGATGTGGTTTCCCCATGTTGGCCAGGCTGGTCTCAAACTCCTGACCTCAGGTGATTCAACCACCTGGGCCTCCCAAAGTGCAGGAATTATAGGCGTGAGCCACGGTGCCCGGCCCTAACAATCAGCTTCTTTTTTTTTTTTTTTTTTGAGACGGAGTGTTTGCTGTTGTTACCCAGGCTGGAGTGCAATGGCACAATCTTGGCTCACCGCAACCTCCGCCTCCTGGGTTCAGGCAATTCTCCTGCCTCAGCCTCCCAAGTAGCTGGGACTACAGGCGCGCACCACCGTGCCCAGCTAATTTTTGTATTTTTAGTAGAGACAGGGTTTCACCTTGTTGGCCAGGATGGTCTCGATCTCTTGACCTCATGAGCCACCCACCTTGGCCTCCCAAAGTGCTGGGATTATAGGCGTGAGCCACCGCGTCCGGCAACAATATGCTTCTTATCAGCACCAAGTACAAAATTTCAACTGTAGGATACTTATTTAATGGCAAAAAATATATACAATAGTACTTGTTTTCAGCTTTCTATTTTTAGGGAGGAAAATCAAGTAAAAACTGTATTTTGGGGAGCTAAATGATGGGAACTTATGAATACAAAGAAGGAAACAATAGATACTGGTGTCTGCTTGAGAGTGGAGGCTGGGAGGAGGGGGAGGAGCAGAAAAGATGACTACTGGGTACTGGGCTTAATACTGGGTGATGAAATCTGTACAAAAAAACCTCGTAACACGAGCTTACCTATGTAAGAAATCTTCACATTTTTGCCCAGGAAGGTGGCTCACACCTGTAATCTCAGCACTTTGGGAGGCTGAGGTAGGAGGGTCATTTGAACCCAGGAGTTCAAGAGCAACTTAGGCAACACAATGAAATTCCACCTCTATTTTAAAAATTAAGTATATGTGTGTACATATAGATATACACACACACTCAGAAGGAATATATGAAGTACTGTAATGTGGATTATATTACTTAAGGCCAGGTGAAATGGCTCATGCCTGTAATCCCAGCACTTTGGGAGGCCAAGCTGGGTGAATCATCTGAGGTCAGGAGTTTGAGACCAGCCTGACCAACATGAGGAAACCCCATCTCTACTAAAAATACAAAAATTAGCCAGGCATGATGGCGGGTGCCTGTAATCCCAGTTACTCGGGAGGCTGAGGCAGGAGAATCATTTGAACCCAGGAGGGAGAGTTTGCAGTGAGCTGAGATCATGCCATTGCACTCCAACCTGGGCGACAGAGCAAGACTCCATCTCAAAATAAAAAAAAATAATATTACTTAAAAAAAATATTTTTGAGATAGCATTTTTCTCTGTTGCTCAGGCTGGAGTGAAGTGATATGAACACAACTCACTGTAACATCAGCCTCCTGGGCTCAAGTGATCCTCCTGCCTCAGCCTCCTGAGTAACTGGGATTACAGTTTCTCAGCTCATTTTTTAAAACTTTATTGCAGAGATGATATCTCCTTATTTTGCCCAAGTTGGTCTCAAATTCCTGGGCTCAAGCAATCCTCCCTCCTCAACCTCCCAAAGTGCTGGAAAATGTTAGCTTTTTAGATCACAAGATTATGATTTGAATCGTCTTGGAAAATGTTGTATGTTCTTTTGTAAATGGACATTGCCCCAGTACATTACAGCTAAATACCAAGCTAGTTGGGGTTCCCGGGTTGCAAGCAACAGATTCCAATTCTGACTGACTTAAGCCAAAGAGGGATTTAATGGAAAATTAGTATGTGTGTGATTATGGGGTAGGGTTGGGGGGTCTAGAATTGAAGAAACAATGGAAGAAATAGGGACCAAGGCACCTTCCAGGATCCACGGAGTACAACTGAGAAAGGTCACAATGAAGCCTTGACACTGGCTGGAATCAGCACTGGCAGTGCTTTCTGTTCTCGGGTCATTCTGCTGAGGATTCGAAGCAGTGAAACAATGCAACTTGTCTGCTTGGGGCAAGGAAGAAAACAGGGCACTGCAGTGGACAGCCCACGGAAGCACACATCCTGGGAGACCGGCATTGCAGCACAGGCTATTACTGAAAGAAGTGGAAACGGATGTCAGGTAGTTCCTCCTTGCCCTATTCTTTTTTTTGGGGTGGGGGAGACAGAATCTTGCTCTATCCCCCAGGCTGGATGGAGTGCAGTGGTGTGATCTCGGTTCACTGCAACCTCCGCCTCTGCCTCCTGGGTTCAAGCGATTCTCCTGCCTCAGCCTCCCAAGCAGCTGGGATTACAGGCGCCTGCCACCGTGCCCAGCTAATTTTTATATTTTTAGTAGAGACAGGGTTTCCCCATGTTGGCCAGGCTGGTCTTGAACTCCTGACCTCAGGTGATCCACCCACCTAGGTTCCCCAAAGTGCTGGGATTACAGGCGTGAGCCACTGCGCCCAGCACTTTGCTTATGACACCATGCTTCCCCTTGGCTGTTCCTTGACTTGGAATGACCCCTAACCCAGATCACCTGTCTTCACCAATTTCGCTCTCAAAAGCCAGATAAAGTAACCCGCTTCTGTTGAAGCCAGGCAGAGAAAATCACTTTTCACTGTCTTTGTACCTTGCATCCACATCCCCTGTTGAACTGATCACACTGTATTATAATTATTTGTATCTACATGAATCTCTCCTGTAAGACTGTAAGTTCTCTGAGGGGAGGAATGTCTTTTCCTCTCTGCTGCTGTGTGGCTAAGACAGTCAGTCTCCATCACAAAGTTGGTACTCAACAAATGATTGCTATGTTAAAAAAAAGGTTTTTAGAAAGCACATGGAAAATTCTATATAGACATAAAATAATTGACTGTTACCTTTGCAAATCTGTGTGATGTTTGAGAGAGCCTGGCAATGTCTTCCAGATCCAGATAAGAAATGATATTCAGGAGCAAATCGTCAGAGAGCCGTTCAAGGAAGTCGACTTGACCTTTGCACAGATTGATGACATAGTCTAATATTCTTACACCAAATATTATGGCAGTTTGACCTGTCATTCAAAGAAGCCAACAAACCAAGACGGTTATCATGTACAGTCACATCAAAACGAGAACAACGATCGTGAGACACAAGCTTCAGGGCATTTTTTCCCTGGCAGTGATGTTAGATGATGCTGAGTCATTCTGACTTTCACCGAGCTGCCTTTGGGGCTAAAAGAATGCAGTTTTAGGCATCTGTTTCCAATTGCCGTCTCTGCCCTGAGATCAGAATCTTTTAGGGACACTCACTGTTTAACACAGTAATTTCTGCATCCCCTTAATCTCATCAGCCCCAAACTCCAGTCTATACTGCTAATTTAACTGGTCTCGGTGTTACCACCAAACTCACAGCCTCTCCAAGCGGGCAGCTATGTAGAGGAAAAGAAAATGCTGGTCACGTGGCTTTTCTGACAGCCCCTCTCCTCCCCATTGGTCTAAAACACACAGTTACCTAATTTTAGTTGACTATTGCTCTCGAATTTAATTTAATTTTTTTTGAGACGGGTTGTCCAGGCTGGAGCGCCGTGACGCAATCTCAGCTCACTGCAATCCTCCCATCTCAGCTTCCTGAGTAGCTGGGACTACCAGTGGGTGCCACCATGCCTGCCTGCTTTTTTTATTTTATTTTATTTTTTTGGAGAGACATCGTCTTACTATGTTTCCCAGCTGGTCTACAACTCCTGGGCTCAAGTAATCCTCCCACCTCAGCCTCTCAAAGTGCTGGAATTACAGGCATGAGACACCATGCCCCTGTTGTTTTTATATACTGCATCTCTACCAAACTATCTTCCTTCTTCTTTACTATTTCCTTTCATCCCTATCTTCATTTGATAGAAAAAAAATAGAAAGAGGGCCAAGTGTGGTGGCTCACGCCTGTAATCCCAGCACTTCGGGAGGCTGAGGTGGGTGGATCACCAGAGGTTGGGAGTTTGAAACCAAACTGACCAACATGGAGAAACCCCTGGCTCTACTAAAAATACAAAAAATTAGCTGGGTGTGGTGGTACATGCCTGTAATTCCAGCTACTCGGGAGGCTGAGGCAGGAAAATCACTTAAAACTGGGAGGTGGAGGTTGCGGTGAGCCGAGATCACACCATTGGACTCCAGCCTGGGCAACAAAAGCAAAACTCCATCTCAAAAAAAAAATAAATCTACTCAGTGGTCTTCAAGAACACAATACGTTGCTATTAACTACAGTCACCATGTTGAACAACACATCTCTTTGATTTATTTCTTCCATCTAACTGAAATTTTGTATCCTTTGACCAACTCTCCCTAATTTCTCCCAGCTCTCCCCAGCCTCAGGTGACCCCTATACTACTCACACATAAGTGAGATCATGCATTGTCTTTCTGTGCCTGGCTTACTCCCCTTAGCATGATGCCACCCAGGTTCACCCATGTTGTCACAAATGACATGACTTCCTTTTTTAAAAAAAAAAAGGCTGGACAGTATTCCACTGTGTATGTGTATTGCATTCTGTTTATCCATTCGTCTGTTGATGGACAGGTTGATTCCGTATCTTGGCTATTGTGAATAATGCCGCAGTGAACACGGAAGTACAGTTTTCTCTTTTATACACTGATTTCATTTCCTTTGGCTATATATCTAATAGTGGGATTGCTGGATCATATGGTAGTTCTAGTTTTAATCTTTTGAGGAACTTCCATGCTGCTTTCCATAATGCCTATACTTACACCCCACCAACAGTGTACAAGGGTTCTCTTTTCTCTCCCAACACTGTTAAATCCTCGCCAACATTTACCTTTCAACCAACTTTAGAATAGTTAATAGATGCGAATCGGGGGGAAATAGGTGGGAAGCGAAATTAGACTATATATTTGTAACCTTTTTTTGTTTTTAAAAGGTATTATATGATGCTTTTGTCAGCAGCATTTATACTAAAACTGGGATGATAAGAAAAAGAGGAATAAAGCCAGGAGAAAGGGTGACACAGAATTGAAACTACTGAAAAAATGAAAACCATTAGGAGTAGATTCTCTGACCATGTGTAATTTAGCTAAAAATTAAGAACAAAGAAAGTAACTACAAAACCCTCAACCTACCTGGAAATCAAACATCTTTCTTTCTTTCTCTCTCTCTCTCTCTCTCTCTCTCTCTCTCTCTCTCTCTCTCTCTCACTTTCTTTCTTTTTTTTTGTTGCCCAGGCTGGAGTGCAATGATGCGATCTCGGTGCAATCTCGGCTCACCACAACCTTTGTCTCACAGATTTAAGTGATTCACCTGCCTCAGCCTCCCGAGTAGCTGGGATTACAGGCATGTGCCACCACACCTAAATAATTTTGTATTTTTAATAGAGATGAGCTTTCTCCATGTTGGTCAGGCTGGTCTCAAACTCCCAACCTCAGGTGATCCGCCCGCTTTGGCCTCCCAAAGTGCTGGGATTATAGGTGTGAGCCATTGCACCTGGCAATTTTTGTATTTTTAGTACAGAAGGGTTTCACCATGTTGGCCAGGCTGGTCTCAAACTCCTGACCCCAGGTGATCCACTCGCCTTGGCTTCCCAAAGTGCTGGGATTACAGGCGTGAGCCACCGCCTAAACAGTATATTTCTTAATAATCTAAGGGTCAAAGAAGAAATCAAAATGGAAATTAGAAAATATTTTAACTGAATGAAAATGAATGAGAATAAAGACACAAGTTATCAAAACTTGTGTAATGTAGGTAAAGCAGCACTGAAAGAAAATTTAGAGGAAAAATGGCTCTAAACAATGATTAGGCCAGCCAGGTGCAGTGGCTCATGTCTAGAATCCCAGCACTTTGGAAGGTCAAGGTGGGATATCACTTGAAGCCAGGAGTTACAGATGATAAGTTCGAAGACCAGCCTGGGCAACATAGTGAGACCCTGTCTCTACAGAATTATCCAGGTGTGATGCTATACATCTGTAGTCCCAGCTACTCCAGAAGCTGAGGCAGGAGGATCACTTGAACCCAAGAGGTTGAGGCTGTAGTGAGCCATGATCACACCACTGCACTCCAGCCTGGGCGACAGAGCAAAACCCTGTGTCAAAAATAAAAAATAGGCCGGGTGCGGTGGCTCACGCCTATAATCCCAGCACTTTGGGAGGCCGAGGCGGGTGGATCATGAGGTCAAGAGATTGAGACCATCCTGGTCAACAAGGTGAAACCCCATCTCTACTAAAAATACAAAAATTAGCTGGGCATGGTGGTGCACGCCTATAGTCCCAGCTACTCGGGAGGCTGAGGCAGGAGAATTGCTTGAACCCAGGAGGCAGAGGTTGTGGTGAGCCGAGATCGTGCCATTGCACTCCAGCCTGGGTAACAAGAGTGAAACTACGTCTCAAAAAAAAAAAATTAAAAAAAAGAAAATGAATAAATAAACATTGATTTATACTTCCATCTCAAGAAGCTAAAGAAAGAACAACAAACCAGACCTAAGGAAAGTAGTATAAAGGAAATAAAGGTAAGAACAGAAACCAATTTTTAAAAACTCATAAAAACAAAATCAACAGAGCTAAAAGTTAGTTCTATGAAAAAATTAATAGAAGAAGTAAACCCCTGGCAACAGTAATTAACAACAACAAAAAAAAAAAAATAGAGAAAATGTAAATTACCATTATCATGGAATGAATAAGAGCACACTACAGATCCTACAGACATCAAAAGAAGAGGATATTATGAACATGTTACAACAAAAAATGTGATAATTTAGATAAAATAAAGTAACTAAGACAAATGCTAACTTCTTTTGTTAGTGGTATTAAGTCTCTGTAATTTTTTTTTTTTTTTTTGGAGATGAAGTCTCACAACTCTGTTGCCTAGTCTGGAGTACAGTGGTGTGAGCTTGGCTCCCTGCAGCCTCCGACTCCTGGGTCCAAGTGACTCAGCTTCTGGAGTAGCTGGGATTACAGGCACCAACAGGCCCAGCTAATTTTTTTATATTTTTGGTAGAGATGGAGTCTCACCATGTTGGCCAGGCTGGTCTCAAACTCCTGATCTCAAATGATCTGCCCACCTTGGCCTCCCCAAGTGCTGGGATTATAGGCATGAGCCACCACACCCAGCCAGAGTCTCTGTAATGTTCTTTTCTGTAGGTTTAAAATATTTCTAAATTTGAAAACTTTTAAAAAGCAAGCTACAGAACACAATGTATAAGATTCTTCTTTTTGGCTGGGTGTGGTGGCTCACACCTGTAATTCCAGCACTTTGGGAGGCTGAGGTTCACAGATCCCCTGAAGCCAAGAGTTCAAGACCAGCCTGGCCAACATGGTGAAACCCTGTCTCTACTAAAAACAGAAAAATTAGCTGGGCGTGGTAATGGGGGCCTGTAATCCCAACTACACAGGAGGCTGAAGCAGGACAATCACTGGAACCTGGGAGGCAGAGGCTGCAGTGAGACAAGATCACACTACTGCACTCCGGCCTGCGCTACAGAGAGAGACTCTTTCCCCGCCTCCAAAAAAAAGATTTTTCTTTTTGTTTATTTTATTTATTTATTTAAAGATAGGATCTCACTCTGTTGCCCATACTCGAGTACAGTGGCACAATCACTGCAGCTGTGACCTCTTAGATACAAGTGATCCTCCCATTTCAGCCTCCCTAGTAGATGGGACCACAGGTGAATACCACCACACCCGGTTAATTTTTGTACTTTTTGTAGAGACAGCATTTCATCACATTGCCCAGGCTGGTCTTGAACTCCTTGGGCTCAAGTGATCCTCCCACCTTGGCCTCCCAAAGTCCTCAGATTACAGGTGTGAGCTACTGCGCCTGGCCCTTATTGTGTTAACATAACATATTCTTGTATGTATGCATAAACCATTTTTATAAGGATATAACAAAAACTCCTAATGATGGTTGTCACTGAAACTAGAAACATGGGACAGAGGGAGACTTATCTTCATGCCAAAACGTTTTTCTTTTCTTTTTTCTTTTTTTTTTAGAAGGGGTCTAATCCTGTCCCCCAATCTAGAATGTAGTGGCACAATCATGGCTGGCTGCGGCTTTGACCTCCTAGCTCAAGCCATCC